TCACACACTGAGTTCCAGGGATCTAATCCCAGTATGGCTGGAAAACATAAGGACGTGTTTCCATAAGACACCTGCTGTCCCTGTTCACCCATCAGTAAAATGGGTACCTAGATGTTAGTCAACTCGTGTGGGTCGCATCCTGGGACAAAATTGATGAAATTTGCCCTTAATGCTCTGCACAATAAGGGATTTCTATATAAGTGTCATTGATGTCAGCTAGGCCTCTATACCTTGTACATGTACTTGTAGAAATGAATATATTATTATTATTCCTTATTATATGATTTAAATCCTTAAGTGTATGATATGTATCCTTGACAGTACGATGAAATGACACTATGCAACCATTTATGTTGGTGAGGGGCTCTTGATTTAGGGAATTGGATCTGTGCTCCAGTTCCCCGAATTAAGCCTGAATGCCTTCCACATCCCCCCCCAGGCGCTGTATAATCCTCCGGGTTTAGCGCTTCCCCCTTGATTATAATAATAATATGCAACCATTCAGTACTGTATTGTCTTGTGGGTATTTCAAGAGCAATTCTATCATGTGGAAAATACTTGTTTGTTCCCAGTCATTTCTAGAGCTTCATGAAGCTTAAGTGTTTTGCATTTTATGTACCTCAATTTCTAGGCCTTGTAATGCTATAGTACCATGAAACAAATTATCAAAATAAATATTTCCAGGCAAGAATTTTTATTTTAAGCCAAGTATTTAAAGCTTTACCCAAACAAGTTATATATGAGGAAATGGTATGGTGATACCGACAAGATGTGGAGAAAGACACTTATGTACAGTTCAGGACATTTATTAAAGGAAACGTTTCGCCACGAGTGGCTTCTTCAGTCCTAATACAGAGAAAACTAAGAAAACATTTATATACGTATATAGTGGCAGGAGTCAGGTGAGGTGACGCGTGGGTAGAGGTGGTAGTAGTAGTAGTAGTAATGGAACTAAGGAGGTGAGGCAAGAGAGGGACCTGCTGGCATCAAGTAACACCAGTTCCCAGGATGGGTAATATCCTCTTGCTTAGTAATTTTGAAATACTGTAACTACCGGATTTTTGCTTTATAGTGTTACTGACAGAAATTAGTGCAGCTTCAATGCATTTTCTCCGTCTTAAGTCGTCTTCTTTAATAACTAGTTTAGCTTCATTGAATTTCATGAGGTGTCCAACATCGTCTCTATGTTGAACACATGCGTTTTTGTGGTCATCATTTCTGCAAGCATTTTTTGTGTTCTGCTATTCTAATGTCCAGAGTTCTGGCTGTTTCCCCTACATATACTTTGTCACACCCCCCACATGGTATAGTGTAGATTCCTGCACTTGTGCCAGAATCATGCTTGGGTTTTTGTATCAGGTTCCTAATAGTAGTTGAAGAGCTGGTAGATATTTTAGCCAGTTTTCTGTCAAACATTTTTGAAACATTAGTGGCAACGTTGCTGACCGGTAAAACGATGTAACTTGGAGGCTTTTCTTCAATTTGATAGGTGTTGGTCTTGCTGAGGATACGTGCTGTAGGAAATGTGCGGCACGTATCCTCAGCAAGACCAATACCTATCAAATTGAAGAAAAGCCTCCAAGTTACATCGTTTTACCGGTCAGCAACGTTGCCACTAATGTTTCAAAAATGTTTGACAGAAAACTGGCTAAAATATCTACCAGCTCTTCAACTACTATTAGGAACCTGATACAAAAACCCAAGCATGATTCTGGCACAAGTGCAGGAATCTACACTATACCATGTGGGGGTGTGACAAAGTATATGTAGGGGAAACAGCCAGAACTCTGGACATTAGAATAGCAGAACACAAAAAATGCTTGCAGAAATGATGACCGCAAAAACGCATGTGTTCAACATAGAGACGATGTTGGACACCTCATGAAATTCAATGAAGCTAAACTAGTTATTAAAGAAGACGACTTAAGACGGAGAAAATGCATTGAAGCTGCACTAATTTCTGTCAGTAACACTATAAAGCAAAAATCCGGTAGTTACAGTATTTCAAAATTACTAAGCAAGAGGATATTACCCATCCTGGGAACTGGTGTTACTTGATGCCAGCAGGTCCCTCTCTTGCCTCACCTCCTTAGTTCCATTACTACTACTACTACTACCACCTCTACCCACGCGTCACCTCACCTGACTCCTGCCACTATATATATAAATGTTTTCTTAGTTTTCTCTGTATTAGAACTGAAGAAGCCACTCGTGGCAAAACGTTTCCTTTAATAAATGTCCTGAACTGTACATAAGTGTCTTTCTCCACAACTTATATATGTTTAATTTTTCCTTGCATAATTCATTAAGAAATAGGTTTTGTCAAGCACAGGTGGCCCTCCGCATTCACAAGGGTTAGGGGATCAAGAACCTCACGAATGCTGAAAATTCGCGAATGTTTAGTGCACAAATATATTGTAGGGAAATATAATAATAGTATTTACTTAGCTTAACATTACTGCTTCCTTAACCTATTGAACCATAAACAATCATAAAACACATGAAAACATCGTAAAATACATAAATGTATTGTATATACATGTTATGGTTTAATAACAAATAATGAACAAACAAAACACTACTCATAAGGTTAGGCAGACAAACTCTGATGACTTATGATGATGATGACAATGACAATGATGATGGTGATGATAGTTAGCCATGCAGTTACTGATGACAGTTGAATGGAGGTGATTATATGGAGTGTAACTGCATGGCATGATGAATCTAGCGTGTGGATTCTAACTCTTCACTGCCAGCATCACTGCCAATAATAGGCGGTGGATCATCGACATCACTAGTCAGAGTTAGCAACGGGAGTAGTGGCAGGCTTCCTTGTGAAGAACATTGTGCTGGGCAACTGAGACCGTTTCCTCTTCATATCTACAAACAGAGTTTTGTGGGGAATTATGCTCCTATCAGTGTCATTCATCACCTTCTAAGCCCTCAACATCGATGGGTCTGTCATAAAAAATTTTTTTGAGCTGTGCTGTCATTCTCCTCACTTGCCCTAGTTTTTCAAGGGTGAGGGCTTGAGGTTGATTGGCCTCAGCAGCACTCCTCTTCATCCTCATTCTCTGCCTGCACAATCTTCAACAACTCTTCATCATTTAGGCCCGGTGCATGTTCTTCAACCAGTTCTCTCACCTCACCCTCCTGCATGTCCTCAAACCCTTCACCACCAACTTGCCTTGCTAACTCCAGTCTTCCTCACGGCTTTGTTAACCTCGCCCTGAGGACCAAATCCAGCAAAATCGTACACACACACACTGGCCACAAAGCCCTCCAACAACCCTTCACTGTCTGAGGGTGCAGATCCTTGACACACTCATGCACTATTGAGAGGCAGTCAGCGATGGTGAATTTCTTCCAGTATTGAGTGACACTCATATCTGGACAATGACTGAGTGAGTGGCAGACTGGCAGGCTGGCTGCCAGTTGATGGGGTAGGAGGGAAGGTAGTAGGGACGCTGCAGGAAGCATACTGTGTATATGATTGGGCGGCTGGGCATTTGCGAATTTTCAAAGCTCACGAAAGTGGAACTCACGAATGTAGAGGGCCACCTGTACAGGTATTTGAATATACAATACTGTACTTCATGGAATTGTGCATATACATCTTATTGAACTTGTACATGCTCTATCTACAGTTTAATTTAGGCTTTTTTGAGTAGTACACGTATTACATTTGACAATGCTGTGATGTACACTTTTTGTCTAGTGAGATGGCAGTGTAGATGGGTGTAATATTTACAGCTTTTAGGTTAATATTATCAGTAAATAGTATTGACTAGCATAAATGCTGATTATTATATACAGTTTATGATACAATATATTCTGGAAGCAATGCCTTAGTTTGTGTTATACTCGCATTTCTCTTTAGGTGCCAGTTATATAAAGAATTGCTGCAGCAATGGAATGCGCTTGAGCCACGCCCAAGCAGCATGTAGAGATATACTTGAGGGTGAACTGGAAAGCATAAGAACAGCAGGCACATGGAAGACGGAGCGTATCATTACCAGCAAACAAGCCGTGAAGATCGCCGTTCAAGGGAAGGAGTCTGGTTTGCTTAACTTCTGCTCAAATAATTACCTCGGTCTTTCAGTAAGAAAGATTTGATTACATGTGGTTGAAATGTAATTTACTGCCCTTCATTTTTAATTATTCTAATAAACAATTGCCAGAACAATGGCAGAGGTTTCAAGGAGGAAGCTGGACTTCTATTTGAAACATGTCCCAGATCAGCCAGGTTGTGATGGATATGTAGGCCTACAGGCCACCAGCAGTAACAGCCTTGTTGATGAGGAAGCCTGCCATAAAATCTGATCTCAGGCCAGGCTTTACAAATACAACAGAGCTGTCATTGAGGTATTACTTTACAGCATATTATATGAAGGGATGTAGTTACATTGCAGAGAATAAAGAAGGGAAGAGACTTGCATAAGATAGGTTAGACAGAACTGTGAAAATAGGGAGAAGTTAGATAATCATGTTAGAATTGAGAGTGAACCAGGTTAGAATCAAAAAAAGAAAGAAGTACAGTATGTTTGGTTTGTGGAAGGAAATGGAGGGGCAGAATAATGAATCTGCATCCTAATTGAGTAAGCAGATAAATAATAGGAACTCTTACTGGGGAGCTCTCTTGGATCTTTGATGCTGGTGAGGAGCTTGTGATCTAAGGAATCAAACCTGACCTCCCCTGGATAGAACCAGATTGCCTCCCATTTTCCCAGGTGTTGTATAGCCTTTTCTGGTTTAGCACTCCCCAGTGAATGTACAGATATATAGGAATAGGCATAATGGGACAAATGTGAGTTCATGCACTGATTAAATAAACTTTCAACTTGGCAGGTAAATGTCCCCAAGGATCACTAATTAAGGATATTGTAATTTTTCACCTAACTATGGGTTTTAAACTGAAAGACTGCAGTAGTGTCTGTGATGACCATGTACTACTCAATCTTGTAAACAAAAAATTAGAGCATTTTCTAATAAAGTTTATTGATTTTTTCAATTTAATTGTATGGGCATCAAACTGAAAGACTGCAGTGATAGCTATGATTAATATATAGCATCTTTTTAAAAACATTTGAGCACGTCTTGTTTTTCATTATTTTTGTTAAAACTGTTTTATTTTATGTAGAACGAATGTCATAATATAACATGAAATACTTAACCACTTAATTCAACATGATGGCCTTTAAGACCAAGCTTTTATATTCACCTTTAGAGTCATCCAGAAGTGATTAAAGCAGGAAAGGAAGCACTAGAAAAGTATGGAGCAGGGCTCTCCTCTGTTCGATTCATTTGTGGTACCCAAGACATTCACTTGGTAAGTCTGCTGAGAAAGACTTCGACAAAGATGGTTCTGTACAAGTAAGGAAAATTACACATTTTTTTATATAAGTTTATTTATTTATTTTTAATATGCTGGCCATCTCCCACTGAGGTAGGGTGACCAGAAAAAGAAACACTTTCATCATCATTCTATCAATCACTTGCCAGAAGCATGCAGATAATACAGTTCAGATTCCCCACCAGACTTCAGACATCCCTGCCCCTCCTTCAGAGTGCAGGCACTGTACTTCCCACTTCCATGACAAGTCTGGCTAACTGGTTTCCCTGAATTCCTTCACAAAACATTACCTTGTTCACACCCGAACAGCTCGTCAGGTCTTAAAATCCATTTGCCTCCACTCCTGTTTAATTCACACATGCCTTCTGGATGTCTAAGCCCCTTGCACACAAAACCTCCTTTGCCCCTTCCCTCCAACCTTGCATAGGGTAACCCCTACCCTGCTTTCCCTCCACTACAGATTTATACATCCTCCAAGTCATCCTATTTTGCTCTATCCTCGCTAAATGTCCAAACCACCTCAACAACCCCTCCTCGTCCCTCTGGATAATACTTTTAATAACTCTGCACCTCCTAATCTCTAGGCAACAAATTCCTTGCTTAATATTTGTAACACACATTACCCTCAGACACATCTCCACTGCTTCCAACCTCCTCCTCACTTCAACATTCACAGTCCATGCTTCACACCCAAATAAGTGTTTTTACCATCTAACTCTCATATATTTCCCTCACTGCCTCCATGCATAACATTCTTTGTCTCCACAGATGCCTCATTGCACCACTCACCTTTTTCCCTTCATCAGTTCTGTGGTTTGCTTTGTCTTCCATATACCCATCCGCTGATGAGTCCACTCCCTAATATCTGAACACTCACTTCCTCCGTACTCCCTCCTTCCTCATCACCTTGCTCTTTCCTGTGTTCACTTTTAATTTCCTTCTTTTACCCTCCCAAATTCATTCACCAACCTTTTGCAGCTTCTCTTCAATCTCCCAAAAGTACAGTGTCATTTGCAAAAAAAAAAACAAGTGTGATAACTTCCATTCTGCATATTTTAATTCCAAACCTCTCCTCAGCACCCAAGCATTCACTTCTTTTACATCCCCATCTGTAAATATGTTAAACAACCATGGTGACATCATGCATCCCTGTCTAAGACCTGCTTTTACTGGAAAATAACTTACCTCCTGAGCCTCACTAACCTTGTAAAAACTTTTAACAGCATTCAGTAGCCTACCACCTATTCCATTCACTCACATCTGCCACATGCTCCCTTATCCACCCTGTCATATGCTTCTTCTAAAGCCACAAAAGCAATGGAATCTTCCCTATCTTTATCTAAATATTGTTCACTTACACAAATAACCTGCACATAGAAGAGAGGAGCTTACGACGACATTTCGGTCCGACTTGGACCGAAACGTCGTCATAAGCTCCTCTCTTCTATGTGCAGGTTGTGTAGCATTCCATTCACAGTATTGTGCCTTTTTTGTTATTGTTCACTTATATGCTTCACTGTAAACATTTGACTTTCACTCTGCAAATTCACAATTTTTCTGTTGCTCCTGTAATTTAGAGTTTTGTATTTCAGTATCACATTTCCTCTAGTTTCAAAATTGCAAGTTGTTAACCTTTCTAGTCTCATTAATTTTTTTTTTTTTTTTTTTTTTTTTTTTTAATCCTTTGACTATTTGCAGGAACTGGAAGAGAAAATAGCAAGATTTCATGGTCGTGATGACGCAATTTTGTATGCCTCTTGTTTTGATGCCAATGCAGGACTTTTTGAAATATTACTTACACCTGCTGATGCTGTACTGTCAGATGAATTAAATCATGCATCAATAATTGATGGAATTCGCCTGTGCAGAGCTCGAAAGTTCAGATATCAGCACAAGAATATGCAAGGTATTTTACCATAATAGAAAAATGTATTAAGGAATGAAGTACAGTATTGTTCAGTATATGCAATTTGATTATGCTTGAGATATCATTATTTACTTCTCTGCTTTGAATACTGACTAGTTACAAATAACATAAATTCAGTCTTGCATTCATGGATGATGATGCACCTCAAGGAATATTGAGTATACATTTTTATTTTAGGTTTATAAAAAAAAAAAAAATTCAAGCTATATTCATCTGCACTGTATTCAACATTTTCCCAATAAAATTGATTTAATTTTTTTTTCTTTAGATCTCGAGGCCAAGTTGCAAGAGTGTCAAGATGCTCGCATAAAACTAATAGTAACAGATGGGGTATTCAGTATGGATGGGAATGTGGCCCCCTTAACAGACATTTGTGATATTGCTGACAGATATAAAGCTTTGGTATTTGCTGATGAATGCCATGCTACTGGATTTTTTGGCACTACTGGAAGGTTAGCAAATCCTTTCCTATAGTCTTAGGAAATAGTTTTGTAATCTATTGCTTTTTGTTAGGCTATTTAATATAAAATTATCATTAGTATTCCCCAGTTATTTTTTTTTTTTTTTACCATTCGGTTGTATCCCCCCAAAGCAGGGTGACCTAAAAAAAAAAAAAAAAAACATTTCAGTAATTTATACAGGAGGAGTTACTAGCCCCTTGCTCCCAGCATTATAGTCACCTCTTATGACATGCATGGCTTACAGAGGAAGAATTCTTTTCCATTTTCCCATGGAGAATTCCCCAGTTATATAAGAAATAAAAAAATTTTACTGATTTTCATGTCTAAGACTTTAATGTATTAAAATTACTATTATAGTTTCAGAGAAGCAGTAAAACTGTTGAGGTCATAGAGTTCCTAGAAAATGCGAATTGATAACATTTTATTGAAGGAATCTGGTTGGCCATCATATATTTCCCCTTACAGAGGAACTGAGGAATATTTTGGGTTACTTCCTGGCCGAGTGGACATTATCAACAGTACGTTGGGCAAAGCACTGGGAGGTGCTGCTGGAGGCTATACTACAGGACCCAGAGAGCTTATCACACTTCTCAGGCAAAGGGCAAGACCATATCTCTTCTCAAATTCTGTGCCACCAGCTGTTGTGGCATGTGCTAGCAAGGTTAGTAAAAAATATACGTATATGCTTTACACGAAAAAATCATATTTTTTATTTTTGTTAGGCACTGTAAAGAGTAGATATCGCATCTTATGATGTGATATTAAATTTTCAATTATGCAATTTGTAATATTTAAATGTTTTAATAATATAAAAGAATTGTTTGCAATAACAATGTGATACAGTAATGAAGTCATAATTGTAACTAGCATCAAGGAAGGTTTCTTGATGCTAGTGAGGGGCTCTTGATTGTCCTTGGCCTTGATTAGATAGGGTCTGTTTGCCTCCCTTTACCCAGACTTACTTAAACCCCTTTTGATTTAGCACACTCCCTAAATATAAGAATAAGAATACAATAGGGCCCCGCTTTACAGCGTTCCGCTAATATGGACATTTAAAAGTATGACCAAAACTCGCTATATGGCTCCCCCCACCTGACTTTCTAATACAGTCACTGCACCCCACCTGGTTTGTTTACATGCTCCGTGAGCACCACTTCTCTCCATTATGTCTGGAAACTCCAAAATTTCAAGTGTTTTTAAAAGTTATTTCATATTTTATATATACATACTCTGATAATTATAATTTTGTATACCTGTATCTAAATAAACTTACACACTGTGCTGGCATGCAGGTACACATGAAAATCAATACGAGTGTCTTATGTCTTGAGATGCCATATTAGTAATGATAATAATACTCTATAATAATCACTGAGACTCATTGAATGTCGTATATTACGTTAATACGTATGCACATTTTCATTAATACATCTCTGATATTTTTTCAGAATTATATAATAAACATGATACGTAACATATAAAGATGATAAATGCACCCCACAGTAGAATAAATAAATATGAGATGTAGCCTGCAACAGCTTTGTAAGGGTGATGTTTCTCCACAAAACTTTGCAACTCACTCCACTTTGCACACATGTCCTTAACCCTTTGACTGTCGCAAGCCCATTTCTGAAACCGTCATTCTATGTATTAAAATTTTTGGAAAAAAAAAATTATTTCTTCTTATGAAATGATAGAGAATCTTTTCCCGATGGCTTAGGCACCAAAATTACGAAGTTTGATCAAACACTTAACGGAATTATGCTCCCACGAAGTTAGCGGTCTCGTTGATATATATGCATCGGCGATTTTGCCGACTTTGAGCCCTATTTTCAGCCAATTCCATCGTTCTGGTCGACCAAACTCATAGCTATTTCTTTAGAACTCCATTTTTTCTATCAATTGAATACAAGAAACTGTCCATTTACCAATTTCAACTACCCAATAAAGTGGTCAGAAATTTAGCAGTTTGGCCAATTTCACGCAAATTAAAAAAGATGCCAATTTCAAAATAGGGTCCAGAATAAACAGTGCAGACATTCTTGGCACTAAAACAACATATTCTCTGTTCATTAGTCACATTTCCAGGCCCCTCCCTTGATTTTTTATTCACACAAAAAATAGAAGATTTACTGTTATACAGACTACTGCATTATTGTAAAAATGGTATAAATAATATCAGTGCACTAGTGAAAGAATATTAGACTCCCCAGTTGACGTGTATTGGACGTGTGGTATGATTTGCTTACTCTTGAACATTGGTGAAAATCGAACATTTCCGCTAGGTTGTGGTCAATTTCAAGGTCGTTTTCACCGTGAAACTAATCAAAATCATCTCTATTTCTGTAATATGTTTTCCATTCTCTCAAATGAGACAAAGAAAACGAGAATACAACCATAAATACTGTACGAAAATACACCTCAAATTCGGCATTTTAATCCAAAAACACGGTCAGAGTTTTTTTTTCTTATTATGCACTGCGTGCTGCAGGATTCTTTTTATACAGTGCACACTGACCACACAGACCCATTCTCTCACATGTGGGCCTACCAGCTTTCTCCTGCTTGATTTGAAGCCGCTAGAATTATTGAGTATATATACGTCCGAAACACTGGCTCGTAAGATGTGTATATACGGCCAAAACAGTCAAAGGGTTAATCACTGAAGAAGGCACATTCTCCCCTCTCTCTTTCTCCTCCTCTGAAGAAATTTCCTCAGCTGCAGTCTGTTGCTGTTCCAGTTGAAGGTCTTGCAGCTCTTCAATGGTTAACTCTTCCCTATGGTCGTCCACCAACTCTTCCACATCATGGCCACTCACATCCAACCCCATGGAGTTTCCCAAAGAGACAATATTCTATTGTGTTTCTCGCCTTCTTTATCAAAGGGCTGGCACTCGGAACTTACTTTGGCCCCATGGTGGCTTATTTAGCAGTTGCACTCAATAAACAAGCACCAAAAAACAATGGATTATTACGAAATGTTTTGGATGGTTAACTCTTCCCTATGGTCGTCCACCAACTCTTCCACATCCTGGCCACTCACATCCAACCCCATGGAGTTTCCCAAAGAGACAATATTCTATTGTGTTTCTCGCCTTCTTTATCAAAGGGCTGGCACTCGGAACTTACTTTGGCCCCATGGTGGCTTATTTAGCAGTTGCACTCAATAAACAAGCACCAAAAGACAATGGATTATTACGAAATGTTTTGGATGAACACTCAGGGTAATGCTCACTCAACGAGAAACAAAGGCAGATTGAGTCACGAAGGCATGAGATGCTTTGTGTGGGCACTTGAGTGGCCGAGCCACGCGGACACGTTTGGTACGGAGCATTTCCAACTCTATGAAAATCAAGCGGATGTATGAAAACTGGGACAAAAATTTGACGAAAAAAGCCATCGAAAACTGAATCCTATGAAAACTGGGGCATACGTAAACTGAGGTTCCACTGTACTTATATTTGGTATGAAATTTTTCAATGTTATGATCTACTGAACCAGTAGGTCACAACACTGCCAGTTATTAGAGGACCCCATTCATTTATGAAGTCATTTTCTGACGGACTATTCAATAAAAGAGAGGACTCGCTGTATTCAAGAAAGCTCAAGATATATTTAAGCTTGCAGCATCTACAGGTATTTGACCCACTTCAATTTCAACAGGTATTTGACCTGCTTCATGGAAGCTCAGGGTTTGCAGAACAAGTTCAAGCCAACACTGACAGATTTAGATCTCAAATGACTGATGCTGGTTTTACTTTGTCTGGTGACAACCACCCCATTTGTCCTGTTATGCTGGGTGATGCTCGTCTAGCTTCTAATTTTGCAGACCAAATGTTAGGTATGTATACATAGTTTTGTACTGTTCATAAATATCTTAGCTAACAAGATATTAGGATAGAGAATATATAATACATTACATAAGGGGCCAGCAATCCTTTAACCCTTTCAGGGTCCGTCCCGTAGATCTACGGCTTTACGGTGAGTGTCCAAACCGTAGATCTACGCCATGAGCTCAGCTCACTCTGATAAACTGTGAGTGGTACATTTGGGCCTAGATATGAGAGTACATCTATGTGGTATGTGTGCACCACATAAAACAGATCCTGCAGCACACTGTGTATAATGAGAGAAAAAAACTGAAATCATGATTTTTCGATTAAAACAGCGACTGCAGTGTTTTTTCGTATGTTTTTTATAGTTGTATTTGCGATTTCTTGGTCTCATTTGATAGAATGGAAGACATATTACAGAAATAGAGATGATTTTGATTGGTTTTAGCACTGGAAATGGCTTGAAACTGAGCTCAAAGTAGCGGAAATGTTAATTTTTTGCCGATATTCAAGAGTAAACAAACGACCTCACACATCTAATACACGTCAGCTGGTGGGTCTAATATACATTCACAAATATGGTGATGATATTTATACAATTATTACAGTATTGCATAACAGTAAATCTTCTATTTTTTGGTGTGAATAAAAAATCAAAATGGAATTTATTTGTAAAGCCTCAAAATGTAACTAATGAACAGAGGAAATGTTAGTTTAGTTCCAGGAATACGTACATTGTTTATTCTGGAGCCTATTTTGAAATTGGAATATTTTGAACTTTGTGTTAAATTGGCCAAATTAACAATTTCCGATCACTTTATTTTGTAGTTGAAACAGTTGATTTGGCGATTTCTTGTGCTCAATCGATAGAATAGAAGTAATACTAGTGAAATAGCTAAGAATTTGGTTGATTGGAATAATGTAATTGGCCTAAAATGGGAGTCAAAGTCGGCAAAATCGCCGACTCGTAAATATCGCTGACACATAAAAATTCGCGAGAGCATAATTTCGTCAATTTTCCACCAAATTTCGTACTTTTTGTTTTATTACCTTCACAAAAAGATTCTCTACCATTTCATAAGAAAAAATAACAAATTTTTTTTTTAAAAATTCTTGGACACTGGTGCGTGACTTCAGATTTTGGCCTTGGACCCTGAAAGGGTTAAGGCTGAACTGCGAATGCATTACCAGCTTATGGATTTAAGTGCTGTGAGCACTTAATCCAGTAGATTAGAAGCAAGGAGTACATAGTTCTCTGGGCATTGCAAACAAATGAGAAGGAAAAGGGCATACAGCACTTGGTGAATGTATATGGCCACCCTGGCATCAGATCTTTGATAAAGTGTAGTGCAAGATGTGGCTTAAAAATATGAATCATTTTTCCCCACCACATAAAAGGAGTGTGCCCTCAGGAAATAATTTTTTTTTTTTTTTTGGGGGGGGGGAGCTTTATACATTGCACAGTACTATAGATAATACTGCACTGTATTATTTACATTATTTTGGGTCATGTATATTTTTTTAATTACCATGTACCTATATTGTATTCCTGGAAAGTGCTAAAACCATGTGGATCATTCATTATTACATAATAGGGGTGAAATATGGTTCTATTTTGCAGTATTTTTTTTGTTTGGGGGGAGGGGATAGAATCAGTTTGAATTATATTTTTTAAATATCCATTAGAAAATTCCTACGAATGCTGATTGGAATGATTTATAATTGTTTAGCACTTTTTGTAAGTATAGTAGGATATGGTTATTATAATCAAAAAGAAGCGCTAAATCTATAAGGGTCATACAGTGCGGCAGGGAAGGGTGCAGGGGTATTAGGTAGCAAGAGGGAGAGGGATTATTATTAGGTCATGAAGGGCAGTGGATAGTGCAGGGGTAGAGGGTAGCAAGAGATTGAGGTTGAAACAGTAGGATATGAATATCATAGTATCTACAGTATATGTATATATGTAGGAAACAAATTAATTTAATTAAAATATTCACATGGATATAGTGCTGTATATGCAATTTGCAATATGATTATAGCTTCCCCTTTGTTTCTTTTGATGTTTTTCTACTTGCCTAGTATTTAAGCTTAATTTTTTAATCAGTGCAACCCTTCTCTTATGTTTTTTTGGAACTATACTTATTGTTTTTGTTTGCAAAACATTTCATGACTTAAATTTTTCAGTTAGGCTGTTATGTTTAGAGTTTGAAAATGATATATATTTTTCCGTCCATACAGAGAAAGGAATATACGTGATTGGCTTCAGCTACCCTGTAGTACCAAAGGGCAAAGCAAGGATCAGAGTGCAGATCTCGGCTTCCCATACTTTTGATGACATAGACCGTACTGTTGAGGCTTTCAAGCAGGTTGGCAAGAATCTAGGAGTCCTTGTTTAGGGGTTTTATGGCCTACAAAGAATATAGGTTCCAGTACCATAGCTGAAAACATTAACAGCCTATACTTGGAGAAGAAACTTGAGTAGTTTGTCTTGGACCTAGACAACCATACCATTCAAGGAAGGGAGGGTGCCTTAATGCTGGTGAGGGGCTCTTGATCCAGGAATTTGGACCTGTTCTCCCCTTGCACCAAGCCTTATTGCCTCCCATTCCCTAGATAGGGTGACCCCCATGTGGGTTTAGTGCCTTCCCCTAAATATAGTCATAACTAAGCAAGAAAATCGGGAGAAAAGGGAGGAGGAAGAAAGATCAGGTGAGAAAATGTTGGAAAATAGGTCAGGAGGTTGGTAGTAAATCTAGATAAATTACACTGCAAAAGGGTGGTCCTAGTACCTATGTCCCTCAATGAATTCACAAAGGAAAATATAAGAGCACTGAAGTAGACCTACTGATCAAAGAATCAAGAACATTAGATAGGGAAGGTGAAAGTTTTACATTACCTTTTATCATCATCCTAACCTAGCATGGGCCAGTATACTTATTGCAGTGCTTTTTATTCCTTTGAGAGCCCCTTGAGGATTGTGGTGGAGTTAGCTATTGTACTCCATCCACTTCAGATGTAATTTATTTTTTACTACCACCCTTCTGCTTTCTTGTGTATCACTTGACACTAACTTTGCCCTATTTTTAGGCCTGTCTACCTTTTCTCATTCCCTTCTAGTTTCTCATTCTTGGATGTATATGGTGAAAACACACTAAACCATGGGGGGTATACACTGAGGAAACAAGGGAATTGAGCATGATCCAAAGAATGAAAGGTCTAGTACAATTCATCAGATCAAGGAACCTTCCTTGATGGGTGATTAATGGTCCAGCACATCTGAAACTTTGAAAGTCTTCTAGCTATGAGTTTTTTTTCTTGACTACTGCAAGCAGGAAGAGTCCATTATCAGTAACCACATACCATAAAAGAGGAACCTTTATTTGTAAAACTGGTAACTAGTTATAAATAAAAAAAATAATAGTGTCATGTTTATTATTTAAACAATAATAATGCTTTGTGCAGCGACAGGGAAACAATGAATTATACTGTTATAGGTTACATTTTCCTAACTTTGTTCCACCCCATAAAGTTTGTGGAACTCAAAAGTTCAAGCTCCTCTCTTCTTGTAGCAGAGCCTGATGACAAATGTTTGTCTATGAAACCTTCCATTTCCAAGCATTCCACAGCCTTGAGAAAGCCTCTTGCCATTAATTTATGAAGGAAAAATATTTATATTTCAAATATTCAGTAAGGGAGACAATAATTATGGGAAGGGTAAAGGCAAGACTTTCAGATTTTTAGTGTACCATATTTTATTATAATCAAAAAGAAGCACTAAACCACAAGGGCTATTTAGTGTACCATAACAATGTTGGTTTAGGAAGGAAGAGATGGGAACTCAGGTCAAGGGGATGTCAAGGCTGGTCAGGCATTTATTTCAGAAACTAAGAATCTGGCTAATCTTGACCTCACCATTACCCAAGTTCACACAGGGTAATGGTGAGGTCAAATATATCTGAAATGGTCTTTGCTTTTACCCTTCCAAGACTTACCTCCCTTACTGAACAATGATTTAAATTTAACTATACTATAATTTCAGCAGCTTTCCACAAATTCAGTATGACCCCACTCCCTCATGTGGTGATGGGGAAATGGAATATGTTGCCTCTTTCTGTGTTAAATTGACAATATTGCTCCCAACCTTTTTAGTTCTACAAAGTATGGTTTGGAATTGTCCTCTCCCTCCAGTTCACTGAAGAAAATGACTTCTCCCTCCCTTTCCTAGACCTGTCTCATAAAATATGACCTACAAGGTTATAGTACCTGTATATTCAAAACCTACCAGTGTCCTCATATACTACCACCATAATGCCTGCCTCAGACATAGCTAATTACATTCATTGGGAAAGTGCTAAACCCAGAGGGGTCACAGCACCTGGGCAGTTACTTGTAGACTCTGTCCAAACCTGAAGAGCATAACACAAATGTCAAAACCACCACATAAAAAACAATGACCCTGATAAATGCATTACTCATCCTATTGGTCAGGTATTTCCATCACTAACTCTGAAGTCCATCATAAACATTGTAGTAATTTCCAAAGCCTCATAGGATGGCATTTGCCCCATCCTCCACAGATATTCCAAATGCACAGCCAGTGTCCACACCAAAACCTGCACAGTATACAAAAAATTAATGTGGGTGAGCCTTGCTGTCAGACTCCATTAATATAAATACACAGAAGTTATGCACAGACACCTCATGATATGAAACAAGGCTAAATTCCTTTTAACAGAATGATAGGAGAAAGTGCCTAGTAGTAACAAGACACCTAAAACCAGTGAGAAAAGTTAAAGTTCTGTCAGCTTTTGAAGAGGAAACTGAATTGCCAATAAGAACAGTCTTGTTAAAACCAGGCAATCAAAAAGGCCTGGCCAGGCCCTATTACCTGTAAACAGGTTACAGGTAACAAAATGTCTTGCACATAATGCTAGGTACCTTTCCCATGCAAATTATGATTGCATTAATGGAAAGACCACTAAACCTGTACAAGTCATACAGTCCCTGGGAAAATAGGAGGCATTCAGGTTCAAAGGGGAGCACAAGCCCAATTCCTTAGGTCAGGAGTCCCTTGGGGGGTTCCCAGGCAAACCCCAGTAAACTCGACACCAACTGTAACCTGGCTTCCTGCTTCTGTTTTCTCTGCATGTGATATGACCTCTCCCCTCTACCTTACAAAAATGTGTAAATAGTTTTCCTGTAGACATAATAAAGCTCAGTTCTTAGCAATGGTTTCCTTACACCCTCTACTAATATTTTTTTTACATTACTTACAGTTCCAGAACAATTAAAATCCTGACTACTACACATGCATACCCTTCAGGGATGGGAGTTCCTTGATGGAGGGTTGATGCAAGAAATTGGAGGTTTCCTTCCCTTTTCTTCATCTGCTGTTTCCAAAGAATGGGACCTGACCCCCCCCCCCCCCCAACTTGGTTGAAACTTGATTGCCTCCCATTTCTCCACGTACTTTGTAACCCGGTACAGATTTAGTGATCCCCCTCTCCTACATAAATATATTTAAAAAAATGTGCTGAGCCTATACAAGTAAAAGTCTTGTAAGACTTAGCAGTAGCTGTCAACTGAGAAATACTATAATTGAAAGCAATACTTTTCATCCTTTACTGGAATCATCAAACTGTGGTACCCAATTAAGTAAAACTGTGTGTGTGTGCTTGTGAAGGTTAGTACACCAAACGGGGAGTAGAATGAAATTAGCTCAGAGGCACCCACACCACCGTATGTCCTCGGATCACAGTAAAACACCTAGCTCTGCTGGGTGCGTGATTCTTGTAGGATTGCGTGGTCCTGTGGGTTAGGGTTGTGTGATTTTTGCTCACCATGGGGAGGGCCGAAATGACATGGGTTCGAATCCTCGGCTAGTTGCAGTGTTGTTGATTCAATACCACTTGTTCGTGGTTGAAATAAATATATATATATATATATACACACACAGGTCTCCCTCAACATTCGCGAGGGTTAGGGGATCAAGAGCCTCGCGAATGTTGAAAAACCGTGAATGTTTGGTGCCCCAATATATTGTAGGGAAATATAATACAATATTGCTTCCTTAACTTGCTGAACCATGAACAATCATAAAATACATGAAAACGTCGTAAATTGTACTAAATATATACATGTTATGCTTTAATAACATGTATGTTATTAAATACCACAGACTCCACCACTTCCCCAACCACTGCGAGTCCCTACTACCCTCCCTCCGACCCCCGCAACTGGCAGCCAGCCCTCCCACCACTCAGTGTGGTGAGTGTTTTGTTTGTTCATTATTTGCTATTAAACTACAGTATAAATAATGTAAACCCATTCATGACTGCATATTGGAATGGCTATTCGGACAGGTATTGGACAGTGACATCATGTGTTTAGTCTTGAACACAGCAAAGAATCAAACATTTCTGCTACTGCTAATAATAACAATAGTAATAATAATAATATTATAATAATAATAATAACACGATATAATTGAAGAAGGAAATTGTACAAAAATACGAGGGAGTGGTTGACACATCGTCAGTGTGGCTTTGTTTATGCTGGAGTATTAGTCTCCCTGCTCTTCCAAACATTTCACAATAATTCAGCGGTTGAGGCAGTGGTATTTAATAACATATATGTTATAAATAATAATAGTACATATTAATAACATGTATCATTATTATTAATAACATGTATGTTATTAAATACCACTGCCTCAGTCGCTTCCTCACCAGCTGCCTCACCCACTGCCTCAGTCGCTGCCCCAACAGCTGCCTCAACAGCTGCCTCAATCACTGCCTTAATCGCTGCCTCAACAGCTGCCTGAACAGCTGCCTCAACAGCTGCCTCATGCACTGCCTCAACAGCTGCCTCAATCGCTGCCTCAACAGCTGCCTCAACAGCTGCCTCACCCACTGCCACAATCGCTTCCTGAACAGCTGCCTCAATCGCTGCCTCAACAGCTGCCTCAACCACTGCCTCAACCACTCCAGTCGCACTCAATCTACAAGTACCAAACACAATGAATTATTGTGAAATGTTTAGAAGAGCAGGGAGACTAATGCTCACTCCAGCATAAACAAAGCCACACTGACGATGTGTCAACCACTCCCTCGTATTTTTGTACAACTTCCTTCTTCAATTATATCGTATTTATTATTATTATTATTGCTATTGTTATTATTAGCAGTGGACCCCCGCATACCGATTTTAATCCGTGCAAGAGGGGTCATTGTTATGCGAAATAATCGGTATGCGAATGAATTTTCCCCATAAGAAATAATGGAAATCAAATTAATCCGTGCAAGAGACCCAAAAGTATGAAAAAAAAATTTTTTTACCACATGAAATGTTAATTTTAATACACACAAACTGAAAAAGGCATGCACACTTACATGACACTTACTTTTATTGAAGATCTGGTGATGATTGATGGGATGGGAGGAGGGGAGAGAGAGTGTTAGTGTTTAGAAGGGGAATCCCCTTCCATTAAGACTTGAGGTGTCGAGTCCTTTTCTGGGGTTATTTCCCCTTCTTCTTTTAATGCCACTAGGACCAGCTTCAGAGTCACTGGACTTCTTTCGCACAACATATCTGTCCATAGTGGCCTGTACCTCTCGTTCCTTTATGACTTCCCTAAAGTGTTTCACAACATTGTCAGTGTAATAATCACCAGCACGGCTTGCAATAGCTGTGTGAGGGTGATACTCATCCATAAGGTTTGCACTTTCAGCCACATTGCACAGATTTCCTTAATCTTTGTAGTAGGCAACTTCTTCAATTTCTCTCTCCCCTCCTCTGAACCAGTTTTCTCAGGTCTGGCCTCTTGCTCTTGAAGTTGATCTATCAGCTCATCAGTGGTTAGTTCTTCATTGTCCTCCTCCACCAACTCTTCCACATCCTCCCCACTAACCTCCAACCCCAAGGACTTTCCCAATGCCACAATGGATTCCTCAACTGGCATAATCCTCTCAGGGTTAGCCTCAAACCCTTCAAAATCCCTTTTGTCTACACATTCTGGCCACAGTTTCTTCCAAGCAGAGTTCAAGGTCCTCTTAGTCACCCCCTCCCAAGCCTTACCTATAAGGTTTACACAATTGAGGATATTAAAGTGCTCTCTCCAAAACTCTTAGAGTCAATTGAGTTTCTGAGGTCACTACAAAGCACCTTTCAAACAGAGCTTTTGTGTACAGTTTCTTGAAGTTTGCAATAACCTGCTGGTCCATGGGCTGCAGGAGAGGAGTGGTATTAGGAGGCAAAAACTTCACCTTAATGAATTTCATGTCCCCATAAAGTCGCTCTGCCACGTCTGTAGGATGACCAGGGGCATTGTCTAACACCAGGAGGCACTTAAGTTCTAATTTCTTTTCAGTTAGGTAATCTTTCACATTGGGGGCAAATGCATGGTGTAACCAGTCATAGAAAAA